TCAAAGTTCTTTGATCCCTTTTTCCCCCCCCCCCCCCAAATTTGCTAAGCGGGCTTAGCAAGAAAGCAAAGCGATCTTGCAGAGTGCGGGTGGCATACAAGTCAAATGGATAAATAAATAAAAAAAATATAAATTCTGTCATTACTGTGAACTTCTTTACACTTTAGGATGAAATTTCTGATGTTAGCCAAGCAGGTTCCAAATCAACCACTCCCATCTTAATTGCTGCTTCAAATGTGCTTGCACCTGCTGAAACACCCCAGAATGAAGACAAGGAAGGGTTTGTGAAGATCACAGATGCAGAAGACAAGACCTCAGATGAAAGCAAGCATATTGAAGTACAGGTAGCCCAAGAAACAAGAAATGTATCTATTGGTAAGTGGTTATAAGAAATTGCATATCTAGAACGAATCTTCTGTCAATCTAGAATTCAGATTTATCCAGTTTGCTGAATTCCAGAAAATTGTTGAGAGCAGTATGCATCTTTTATATGGGAAAACACATTCATATAGGAAACAGTACAGGATTCATGTCTGAACAGTCTTGTGTGATTGATGTATGTCAGTATGTATGTGTGTGTGTGTGTGTGTGTGTGTGTGTACATACATACATACATACATACATACATACATACATACATACATACATATACATACATACATACATACATACATACATACATACATACAAGATTGTTCAGACATGAATCCTGTACTAAAATCATTATCACTGTAAGTTCCAAATGCAGTGGAACTGAAATTACTGAAATAAAAATGTGCATGAAAGTCTTTCCTGAAGACCCATATGTTAGGGAAATACTGTTACAGTGGTGCCTCGCATGACAATTTTAATTCGTTCCTCGAAAATTGTCATCTTGTGAAAAAAAATCATCTTGCGAGGTTCCCTATGGGAACCTCACAAGACGAATGAAATTTATTCGTCTTGTGAAGCATTGGGCTCAGGGGAAAACCCTCTTGGGAAGCATGGTCGTAGGGGAAAAACTGTCTTGCGAAGCACCAAAGGGATCACGTAAACCAATAGTCTTGCGGGTTTTTCGCCCTGCGAGGCAATCATCTTGCGAGGCACCACTGTATTGCCTTGTCTGATGAGGAAATCTGTAGACCTAGTGTGTTTCACACAATTTTGTGCATAAGTGCCTGTGTGTGTTGCTTAATTGTAGATTTTTGAAATCTTATAATATGTGGAAGGTCCTATGTGAAAGAGTATGAAAGACTTTTATGGAGATGTTTCCATTGTAGACAATGCAGTGACTGTTGGATGTATTACTCATTTTATTTCAAATCCCCATTTAGAGACTGTCTCAATTTATGTCAGTGCTATTTGCTAGATCTGGGCTTGGCTGCAATATGTTCTGGTACAAACCCCTGCTCAGCCGTGAAGTGTTTGTATCATAGTACTGTTCCAACCTAAAGCTTGGTTGTTATGGAGAAAAAAAATGGAGCAAAATCTGAGCTCTTGCATAGAACAAAAAAAGAAAGAGAAATAAACATTTTATTGCTCCTAGTAGGACAATATCTGTGTGATGGGTTCATTCGTGCAAGAAGCAAAGTTATTAATTTTTTCATTGTTATAATATTCAAGTTATAGCAGTTAGTGTATATTTTACTGATATATCAAAGATCTGATGACACCTAAAAGTGCTGAAGTATGATGTAATAGCAAACTTCTAAAAGAATATTAGGTTCATTCCAAAAATAACTGTCAAACTTCCATGTGGATTTTATGGTGTATGCATATGTTATAATATCTTGCCAACATGGTGGGGCTTGTGAGCTTCCAATCAATTCTCTATTTTAGGGTCACTTCACACATTGCAGAATTATTTCAAGTGACCGAATATGGAAAAAGTTGACAATTTGTTTTGTTTTGTTTTGGACTGTAACTTTCAGGCATTCAGCCATTGTCATATTATAAGCTGTAGTTTATCCCCTGCCTCCTAATATTTCCTCACTTTGTGTAAGATTTTATAGTGTGAAGATTGTAATAGTATGAACATTTACCCTTTTCTGGAGGAAAGTTGTAAGATACCATTTTGGAAGGGCTTGCTTATGAGCAGACTGGAGAATCATCCATTTCAGCTCTTGACCTTTGATAAGGTCTGTTTTTGTTTATAGCCAAAATGTCTGTATAATTAATTCATAATGAAGGGCTGCACCCTGTGATGATTTAGGAGAGATCAGGAGGCATAAAGGTAGTTCAGTGCATTCGTTTTTTAATTTGCTTCTGCAATCTAGGCACCTTCTTAGCAAAACTTATGGTTGATCTGGGAAAAACTGAACCTTTTGCAAGTACTGTAGTATTTTCTTTCTTCTTTCTGACGGTATAAGCCTGCCTTGCTCTTGGTAAAACAGTTACTGCTTTCTTCCCAAGATTCTAATGAAAATGAAGACAAATCTGAAGTTCAGGCAATCATTGAATCCACTCCAGAGCTGGATATGGACAAAGATCTTAGTGGATATAAAGGTTCAAGGTATTTTATTCACACACTTTAAGCAAAAAACAAAACTTAGGCTGCAACAGTCTTCTACCTATGAGGGGCTTTAGGAAAATGCTCCTTTGTTATTGTTACTTTGTGTAGTGTGCCTTGGACTATTGGAGATAGCAAGAAGGCCAGAACCTTGTTATTGTTGTTGTTTTTGCAAAGTGTGGCCAGGATCTCTCAGCTGCCCAGAGTAGAATGTAAAGCTGCCTAATGCACAGAAGAATAGGAGGAAAACAAACACTGAGCTAATATGTGAGCAGTGGGGAGACAAGGAAAAGGAGATTCTTGCATACAGGCTGGTGAAATCAGAAGATAAAAGAGCAGAGAGTCTCTGAGCAGCTGTGTTTAGGAGGAAGAAATGTTACATAGATTAAGGCGTCTGATTCCCCTCTCCGTTCTGCAAGGATGGGCAATGATAGGTCTCCTGCTAATAATTTGTGCACTACAGTTGCCTGTTGTACAGTAATTTAAAGAACAACCCATGAGATAGGTTTATAAGGTATTTAGAAAGTGGAGGACGTGCATTTGTGCAAAAGCACAGGTCCATGTGCACATACACTTTTCATTTTAAAACCCAATTTAGTGACTGTCTTAATTTATGTCAGTGCTGTTTGCTTGATCTGGGCTTGACTGCAATATATTTTGGTACAAACCCCTGCTCTGCCAGGAGATCTTTTTAAACATCTAATTCCCCTAACTATTAAATTCCAATTCTGTTACGTAGCACTCCCACCAAAGGCATAGAAAACAAAGCGTTTGATCGTAACACAGAATCTCTTTTTGAGGAACTGTCTTCCGCTGGCTCTGGTCTGATTGGGGATGTGGATGAAGGAGCAGATCTGCTGGGTGAGTAGTCGTTTTTTAAAAGCAAACACCTTGGTTGAATTTCCATTAAGTTCCCCGTTGACTGCTTTGGCCCTTCAGATGTTTCTGGACTGCAACTCTGGTCAATCCTGGGATCTCACACTTTAGCAAAGTGTATCTTTATTGTTTGGGCCGTTCTGTTCCTTAGAGGTAAGCCCCACTGAATCCCAAGAAACTTTCCCCCCTGTAATTGTATGGAGGATTGCTGTGAAGGAGAGAAATCTAAATGAACTTCTGGAGGGGGCTGAGTAAGGCTGTGAAGTCTCAATAACATTAAAGAGTGTAGAATTCATGGTGCTCCCAAAAGACCTCTGAAATCCCAGAAACCTATAGAGCAATATGAGGAGGCATAAACTGCCTGTTGATTTAGACATCTCAAATATGTAGCATATTTCGGGTGGATCAATCAACTGCTCTTAAGTAATTAGATATCCATCCACTTTGTATGACATTTATGATGTGGTCTTAGCATTTGAATGAAACATTTTAGCATTCTTTTGCTTTCTGGTTAGCATATCTCTTTATACCGTTTGGACTGGGAACTTTGATCTGTAACCTGAAGAACATGAGTTTTCTATTCCTGCTCCTCTGAAACTAATTTGCCCATTTAAAGAAATGCTGGTCATTTATTTCTTTGTTCCCAGTGGATCTCATGAACTGGCAATGAATAGTTTGCTAAAAGCCGCTCTTGCAGTGTCCTTTCTGCAGGTTTATTAGGTAACTGGTCCTTAATGTTGGTTTTAAACCAGTTGCATCAGGAGGGCACCAGCTTGGGGAAGACTGTCTTAGATCATCTGGGTTTTAAGGGGAAGTTACAAAAAGAGGCATGTTGTTGATATTATTTTTAAAAACAGTTGCTGACAAAGAGGTGAAACAAAGTGGTGACAGCATCTGTTATAGATCAGCTTTCTGAACATCCATACTGTATATACTTAAACCTTACAGCTGAAGTGTTGTATAGACTCTGACTTTATTATGACGAAATTTTCTTAGTATTCACAGGATTAAAATAAGCACTGCACTCTTGGGGATGTAGCAGTAAATTATGAAGTGCATGCACTGATTGTCACAGTCCCCATAGCCACACAATTAAGGAGGATCAAAAAATGTAGGTGCTTGTGTTGATTCATTTCAGAGTAACCAGTGCTACCAGTTTTCCTCTCCTCTAGAGGTTGATCTTTTATAAGATTAATGAGTCCTAGATGCTTCATTTCCCTGGAGCTCTGACTGTGACAACTTTGGCTCTATCACACTACTGTATGTTGTTATTATTACAGTTACCATTGACATGTTTTGGATATTGTAGTTACTAACTGTATTAGTTTACATTTACATAATATACTAATATATATTATATTTATACTAACAAAGATGCTTGTTTTTTAATTAAATATAGCAATAAATATAAAGAAAAGGGTGCAAAAGACAGCAGTGAGCTGTGGTAAAATGATGGAGCAAAGCCATTTGGGAAGGAATGCGGCTGGCAGTGGCCACATTTTTGTTGAGTTTGCCAATAGTTGGTTCACAGACTGTACATTTTGTAAAGGTGTTCACAAAGTTTTCATTGCCCTTTGCTTTGTAAAAGCATAAGAATAAAACAATGTTTATTTTAAGATGTTATTATGTAACAGCAATTTATACAGATATTTAACTGCTTTGCAATTTGTGATTACACTTGGTATTATGCAGCTTTAACGAATTGTTCCAGCAAAGGTCTGTCTTAGGTAACATATTCCATCTGAGTAGGACTACCTGCACAACAAATCACATGTTTATTTAAAAGCCTTACAGAGTTTAGTGGGACTCAATTTGAAATGAGCATGCATTTTATCTGAATATTGTGTATTGGTAGTTTTATGAATTATATATTGGCTGTTCGATTTATGATACATAGTTCCACAACAATAATTAAATGGGACTCTCCAATCTACTTTCTCTTGGGCTGCGTACCCAGGGGAATATTCTGGTGTGTATGCTTTTAATATATTCAGCAGTGATTACTTTGAAGTTTGATAGTCTTGGCTGTTCTCTCATAATTTGTGTGCTGCATTTTTTTTACTCTGCTTTGTCTTTTTACTTTTGCCTGATACTTTTTCCCCTGTTTGAGACACCAGCAGTTAAAAGTGTAGTGCAAATAACTCAAGTAGCCACCCCTCCTCAAACTGCATTTGTAAATGTATTCTAAAAAACCAAGTAGCAGCAATTAAAATACTTTTCTACATGTGATGGGAGTGAAATCCACCCATACATGGAGAAGAGATTGGGAATAATCACAGGACTCCAAACTTCTCTCATCTTGAAAACATGAGCACATAGCAAACACACTGTAAGATATCCTGGCTTGTTGAAGGGTGTTGTGGAATAGAATAGAATAGAATAGAATGTAGTGCTGCTTCACTTACAGAATGAGAACAGAGTTCCTGCCGTCCATGCAGTGAGTGCAGAAATAGCAATTGATGCATCATTAGGGATGGGTTTTCATCAGAGTCTGATTCAGCATTTCAGCAACCTTAGGAGCGGTCATATAAGACATGTCCTTAGCTTCAGTCAGGATGTAGTCAGCTATGTTTCTGCTACAGGCTATCTTGCTTCTCATTCAAACGTCGCTAAGTGTGAACATAAGGGTCACAGAAGGAAAGTTTTGCCTTGCTTCCAAAGCATGGTACACAATTCCATTACAAATTGAGCTTAAGGGGTGCCTCCCTTAGCGACGTTAATCCATTCCAGGAAAAACGTCGCTAAGTGATTTAATCGCTAAGCGATTTTAAAAAGCCCATAGGAACGTATTAAAACGTGTTTAATACGTTCCTATGGGTTTAGACACTAACCTTAAGTGAAATTCCTCCATAGCGGCAGCCATTTTGGGTGCCTCTAAAGCGAGGCAAAACAGCGTGTGGCCATTTTGGAAACGCTGATCAGCTGTGCAAAAATGCGATGATCGGGGGGAAGCGATCATCGCAAAGCCCCCATTTTCTGCCAGCTGATCGACGGGGCTGTCAGTCTCCCTGCGGAGGCTGGAGCTGCAAGGAGTGGAGAGAGAGACGAAGCACAGCTGATCGGTGGGGCTTTGAGCTTATCTCTCTCTCCACTCCTTGCAGCTCCAGCCTCCGCAGGGAGACTGACAGCCCCGTCGATCAGCTGGCGGGGCTTTGAGATGATCGTTGGGCCCCGCCGATCAGCTGTGCTTTGTCTCTCTCTCCACCCTTTGCAGTTCCAGCCTCGGCAGGGAGACCGACAACCCCGCCGAACAGCTGGCCGAAAATGGGGGCTTTGCAATGATCGCTTCCCTGCGATCATCGCAAAGCGAATTTTTCCCATAGGGGCTATTGCAAAGCGATCGTTTTGCGATGGCAAAAAGTCCATTGCAAAGCAATTTCATCGCTAAATGGAGCGATCGCTATGCGAGGCATCACTGTATATGAATATATAGCACATCTGTCCCAATCATTTACATATTTGGGTACGAACAATTTTTTCATAAGTCTACCCTGTCTGACAGCAGTGGTGTTCTTGTTTAGTCGTTAAGTTGTGTCCGACTGTTTGTGACCCCATGGACCAGAGCACGCCAGGCCCTCTTGTCTTCCACTGCATCCCAGAGTTGGGTCAAATTCATGTTGGTAGCTTCGGTGGCACTGTCCATCCATCTCATCCTATTTAGCTAATTTTTGTTAATACTGTGCAGAAGGTGGCAATGTTTCAAAATGAAACAAAGGATAGTGTTGGAAGATGAGACTCTTAGGTCAGAAAGCACTCAGTCTGCTACTGGGGTACTGTAAAGGACAAATATGAATAGCTCTGTTGCTAACAATGCAATTAGATTAAAGGCAAAAGGACTTCTAGTGGCTGACATGCACATAAGTGAAAAGAAAGTCCTCAGCTGCACAACACATACAATTGGATATTGGAATGTGAGAAGTATGAATCAAGGTACAGTGGGGTCTTGACTTGAGAACTTAATCCGTATTGGAAGGCGGTTCTCAAGTCAAAAAGTTCTCAAGTCAAATCTGCATTTCCCATAGGAATGCATTGAAAACCATTTAATCCGTATCTGCTCTTTTCCGTCCATAGAAACTAATGGGAAGCTGCTATTCCGGCTGCCCGGCTCTCCAGTTCAATTCTCCGACGGGCAGGCAAATCACGCAACAACGGCAAATCTTTTCCAGAGGGGGAGGTCTCTGATTCTGACACACTTGGAGCTGAGCTGTTGCTGGCACCTCCTGTAGCGCTGTTGGCAGCATCCAGCTTGCGCATGCGGTTACGCCGCCGCCGAATCAGCTCCTTTTCTTCCACCACTGTGACCAGGCGCCCCGGCAGCTTGCGCAAGACTTTGGCAGCAGGGCCATCTTGATCCTGACAGCTCTGACGGATCTGCACATCAGCACTCGTCCGACGGCGAGGTGCCTTAATTGGCGAGAGGCTCTCATCTGAAAAGAGCGCTCCTGGAGAGGTTACAGAGCCTGGCGAACTCTCCTGCAAGGCGACAGTCCCCGGGCAGATGGCTGAAGTTTTGGTCTCTTTGTTTTGCTGATCATCCTCGTGAAGCTTTTTTTCCACCACTCCTTGACTGAGCTTGGGTGACTCGCTGAAGCTGTTGGCTTCACTGCTAGTTGCCTCTGGTGTCGGCAGTGCCATCTGTAGAGGTGAGATTTCCTCTCGCAAGTCTGAAACTGGGCAAAGCAAGTCTCCAGTTCTGGGAGGCTGCCCCAAACCATTCTGTTCCTTAGCAAACGGAGGACTTTCCAGATGAAGGAGGGAGCTAGCAGCTGTCGTGGAGTGCTCTGGGGAAGCGAGTATTAGCATCTCCGTCTGGGGTTTTTTACTGTCTAACACGGATGCTGTGCCATCTGTTGCTTGTGGAAGAACGTCCTCTGAGCTTTTAAAAGCATCAAGCCCCTTCGCCAGCTTATCAATGCCAATACTGTAATGGTGAAAGGAAACATAGTGAAAAGAGATTTTTTTTGCAATATACTGTAATTCTAACCTAATATATTAATATTTATAATAATACAAAATTAAGGGGGTGTACCTGTGCCTCTACAAGATAAAATCTGAGAAGGAAAAAAAAGTCAATGCACTTTGAGTTTAATTTACTTTTTTGGAGGTAGAACTGACTCCCCCTTCATGTCTTTGCCCTGCCCCCAAAAGCCACCTCAGTGAAGAGCCATGCCCAAATAAATACCTCATCTATAGGCCCCACGACACCCCACCCCACCCCCGGTTCTCCACCCTCACCTTTTTACCTCTCTTGCCTTCCTCCTCCATGACTCAGACAGCGCAAAAGGTGCCGCTTCTGGTACGGCAGCAACAACTTTTCAGTTCTATTGTCACCATGGGCATTGGCGTTCCCGGCACGCACCACGCACGTGCACCTCATTCAGGCCTCTTTGAGCCAGGCGAACGCTTGGGTCCAAAGGGCTGACATCAGTTCCCCAAAGGAGAAAGCAGAGGAGCAGAGAGAAATGAGTGAAAGCATTTCAGAGGAGGAAGGAATGAGCACATACATAAAAGGAAAATCTGCCTGAAAGGGTACAGAAATAACTTAGAACTCTAGTTGCCTCTATGGGTCGAAAGGAGAATTAAAATACAGTAAAACTGTAGTATCTGCAGGGGATCAGTTCCAAGCTCCCCCGAAACTGTGGATAATAGTGGGCCCTAAATATAGCATTGTCTCTGGTTCCATCTAGTGGCTAATTCTGGTAAGTACATCATGAAAGTACATTTTACAGCAGGACCCCCATAACCGCTGAATCAATATCCACTGATTCACTTATCCATGGTCTGAAAATACTAAAATTATTAAATGAAAATACCTGCAAATACAGATTTTCAAGGTATAATTATCAGACTGGCCACTAGAGGGAACCAAACACAATGTTACTACTGCCCTTTCTCCTGGTATCCCAGCAGCTTGAGGCAACATCTCTCCAAAGCAACATTGTTGTCAAAGCCGGATTGGCTGGCAGAGCAGGAGGAGGACTGCTGACCTAAGCCAAACTGCATCCCGGGAGAGGTTTCCCACCTCCAGCCCTTCCTGCCTTCCAGCTAGCGCGTTCCTCAACACTGCCAGGCAAACAAGGAATTAGATGCTTAATTATCTTTAAAGAAAACCCACAGAGCCATTGAGGGGGGGTCGTCTTCAGTTTTCAGCACAGGAATGAGAAGATTTCAACTCAGTTGTTACTCATAGAAGCCCCATTAAGATAAAAATGACAGGTACAGGGGAGTCCTGACTGTTAGCCATAATGCATGCTTTTCACTATCCACAGGAGGACTTGGAACCAATCTCCCACAGATACAGGGGTCCTTCTTTACATATGTGCTCCTATTTAAAAAAAAATTAAAATATATTTTCAGACTGTGGATAAATGAAACTATTAGTACTGATCCTGCAAATACAGGAGTTCTGCTGTGAAACAGCATTGTGTAGACCAAATTTAATATAATAAATATAAAATAATTGCAGCCATGCTGACTCCCTCCAAAAAATAAAACCACTTTGTGACCACCTCGGGAGTCATGAACCCCCACCCCCACCCCGGTTGAAAAAAATGTACTATAGGCAAAGGATACATTTTATCCCCTTATCTGTTCAATCTGTATGCAGAATATGTATGGAAAACTGGACTAGATTCATATGAAGGTGAAGTGAAAATTGGTGGGACAAGCATCAGTAATTTAAGATAGGCAGATGACATTGTCTTACTGGCAGAAAGCAGTAATGACTTTAATCTTCTTTCAGTGAAAGTGAAATCAGTGCCAAAGCAGAACTGCAGTTGATCATAAAGAAGACAAAAATCATGACTTCAGAGGAACCGCACAGTTTTAATGTTGACAATGAAAAACTGAAATTGTGAAAGATTTTGCATACTTTGGTTCAGTCACCAGTCTCAATGGACACTGCAGCCATGAAATCAGAAGATGACAGAAAGTAGGAAAGACAGTAATGCAGGAATTAGAAAAGATCATCAAATGTAAGGATATATCACTAGGGACCAAGATCATCCACACTCTTATATTTTTAGTCACCATGTATGGATGTGAAAGCTGCATAGTAAAGAAAGCAGACAGGAGAAAAATGGACTCATTTGGAATATGGTGCTGGAGAAGAACTTTGCAGATACGCCATTTTGGATACTGCTCATTCATAGGATTGCCAGATGTCAGAGGCAACTTGCCAGCATATAACCACCCCACATATCTGAGATATATATGAAGGCTTAGTTTAGATATTGATTATTTCACAACAAGAATATTATGCCATAGTTTTCTAAAAGTGTAATTCTTGGAATTGGATAATTTTAGATGTCTTTCAGAGAGTGTTATAAGTGGTACAGATATTTCACCTATTCTCTAATGAAGTAAGAAAGATAACTTATTTGTAATGATTATACTGATAATTAGCTGTGAAGTTTTAGCTCTCCCTTTCAGAAAAGGTACTGTATATCTGGCCAAGACAGCTGTTATGATTAACAATATACCTATGGAAAGGCTAAAATATTTCATGCATTTTAGTTTAGAGAGGGAAAATGGCAAGCTATATCAAATTAAATCAAGCATTGCTGGAAGAAAGCGAACAGAGATGTATGAGATGACTTGCCATCACTCAGTGAAATTCTTGGGCATATTTTAGTTAGGGGATTTTAAGGACTTGAAAAGCTCAATTTGGGGGGGGGGGGATTACTACTTGCACAGATCCCTCAACCAATATGGCCATTGTCTGTGGAAATCATAGTCCCAAAAGTAACTTTTCCACGTTCTGATGTTTATATACCATTCCTTATCAAAGAGTTCCTTGAGGATGATTCAGGAAAGATAGCAGAAAAGCTTAGCATACCAAACAGCTAACATATGAATTCACTGCCAGTAAATGTGGTGATGGTGTGTGGGTTGGGGAGAAAATTTGTCGCATTCATGGTTGGTAGGCTTCTCATTTAGCCTTGAAGGCTAAAGAAGATTTCCATTTTCCGGAGTACGTACATGTTTCTGAATATAGGCTACTCAACATACACTAAAGGGGAATGCTGAATTTTGAAAGGTGTGTTCTTGGCCATCAAGGGACAGAGAAGTCTGGACTAGATAGATCTATACCTTGTAAAAGTTGTTATTTGGACTGCAGCTCCCAGAATCCCTGCAGCCAATCTTTCTGGCAGCTGTACTCTAATCAGTCAGTCAGTTTCCAAGCTGTGGGTAATTCCTTGGTTTAGCAAAGCTGTTTTTAGGTTCCCAGCAATGTTTTAATGCTGCTCGCTTTTAACTGTTGGGTCTAGCTCTCTTAAAATCAAGAACCATTTGGCTTTTAAACATCTAGTTTTGGCTTTGCTTCAAACTCTATATCTCATACATTACTACTCTTGTGCTGTATGTCATCTGTACTGTTCTTCCTTACATGAAATATTTCTTCTTCTTCTTCTTGCTCTTCATGGGATGCATGGGCATTAAAGACCATAATTTCTTTGGTAAGGCATCATCTCATTTGGGGAACATTTGCAAGGACTCTCCATTGTCTGAACTTTTCACATTCAGCATCTGTTTTTTTTCTGATGCATGTGGTAAGAACTTCTGTTAATTTGCAATGGTTGCAAACTTTAATACAATTTACTTAAAAAGAAAATCCAAAGGCAGTCAAACAGTAAACATTTGTACACAATGCATTTTATGTTCTTAAGTCAGTTTATTGGATCTTTAAAAATCTGATGGCAGATCATAATTATATTTGAAAACACTTGTCAGTTTAGCATTTACGGGCAGCAGTGTACACATAGAACTTCTTATCAGCATTTATTTCAGTGGAGGAAGGCAATTTGAACACAGGATTACTTGTGTATGTTGGTCAAGATCCTGCATTGAAATGAATGGGGGAATCTTGTGTCTGCAGTAACTCTGTGAACTTCAGAACACACATTGAATTCTGGCGTAGAGCACACTCATTTGACATATAACACATGAGTGGAAATTTCAGTGTTTTTCAGTTGTTTCCTCTGTTCTGTCTTTTGAAAGGAATGGGTCGTGAAGTTGAAAACCTTATCTTAGAAAATACGCAACTGCTAGAAACCAAGTGAGTAATCATTACCCAGCTTTTAAATGTAGAAATACTGTTGTTCCTTTTATATATAGATAATTGATCAATTGATATTGATAGATAGATAGATAGATAGATAGATTGATATTGATATTTAGATAGATAGAAAGAAAGAAAGAAAGAAAGAAAGAAAGAAAGAAAGAAAGAAAGAAAGAAAGAAAGAAAGAAAAGGGAACTCTCTCTTTCTCTCAAATGCTTAATGTTATTACCAAGTGATAATTTATTTTATTTATTTATTTTATTATAAAGGGTCTATTCTGTATAAAGTATATAGCCATCCCCATTTTAGATGGCATGTAGATAAAAGGCTGCTTCCAATGGCAGAAGTTGCTTTTTCCCTCAGAAGTTGGAGGACAAACATTTTTCCCTCTCCACTACCTTCATGCAGCCTAAAACATAAACACCCTAGAATATATATATATTTTAGCTCCAGAATCCTCAGAAGGAAACCAATCCTATTGTGGGTTATCATTTTTCGAAGAGGAATTAGATTTGTTTGTGGAGGATAAATGCAAAAATGCTACATGTTAACAAGTGATTTCAATTCCAAGGCTGTGTTTCAAATCTGATTACTGCATGCAGTTGATAATCAGTAGGAGGAGATGATTCTCATCATGCCTTAATCAATTGCATCCCTATGGGGCTTGGAATATTGAAAAGAAAGGACTCTACAGCCTGTTTATTCCTGAGGATGGCATATGATGGTTGTTCAGGAACACTACACAAATGTGTGTCCATACACATGCCCATCCCAGTGATCCTTTCTTCTCAGTGGGAGTGGAGATCAGCAATCCTAATATAGTTAAGTCCTTCCAGCAAGGGAAGAACAGTCTGTGTTAGGATTGTTTGGGGGGGGGGAGATCTGCCTCCACCCCCTGTCCCAATGATCCTGGTATAGACATCTTACTCCTCACAATTAGCAACAGCAGGGAAAGAGCTGTCTGTATAAAATCAGTCGGCAACTGGTGAGAGAATCAGCCACTGTTGTTGTTTAGTCTTTAAGTCGTGTTCCGACTCGTCATGACCCCATGGACCAGAGCACGCCAGGCCCTCCTGTCTTCCGCTGTCTCCCGGAGTTTAGTCAAATTCATGTTGGTTGCTTCAATGACACTCTCCATCCATCTTGTCCTCTGTTGTCCCCTTCTCCTCTTGCCTTCACACTTTCCCAACATCAAGGTCTTTTCCAGGGAGTCTTCTCGTGACCAAAATACTGGAGCCTCAGCTGCAGGATCTGTCCTTCCAGTGAGCACTCAGGGTTGATTTCCTTTAGAATGGATAGGTTTGTTCTCATTGCAGTCCGGGGGACTCTCAAGAGTCTCCTCCAGCACCACAGTTCAAAAGCATCAATTCTTAGGCAGTCAGCCTTCTTTATGGTCCAGCTCTCACTTCCATACATCGCGACTGGAAAAACCTTAGCTTTGACTATGCGGACCTTTGTTGGCAAGGTGATGTCTCTGCTTTTTAAGATGCTGTCAACGTTTGTCATCGCTTTCCTCCCAAAAAGCAGGCGTCTTTTAATTTAGGGGCTTCTGTCACCATCTGCAGTGCTCATGGAGTCCAAGAAGGTAAAATCTGTCAATGCCTCCATATCTTCCCCTTCTATTTGCCAGGAGGTGATGGGACCAGTGGCTAGGATCTTTGTTTTTTTGAATTTGAGCTTCAGACCAATCAGAACAATCAGTTGTTCCATATCCAGTTCTTCTGGGACTTCTCAGTCCACATACTGCTGAAGCCTACTTTGGAGGATTTTGAGCATCATTTTGCTAGTTTGTGCAATGAGTGCAGTTGTACAGTTGTTGGAGCATTCTTTGGCACTGCCCTTCTTTGGGATTGGGATGTAGACTGATCTTTTCCTATCCTCTGGCCACTGCTAAGTTTTCCAGACTTGCTGGTGTATTGATTGTAGCACCTTAACAGGGTCATCTTTTAAGATTTTAAATAGTTCAACTGGAATGCCATCACTTCCACTGTCCTTGTTGTTAGCCATGCTTTCTAAGGCCCACTTGACTTTGCTGTCCAGGATGTCTGGCTCAAGGTCAGCAGCCACACTATCTGGGTGGTCTGGGACATCCAGATCTTTCTGATATAATTCCTCTGTGTATTCTTGCCACCTCTTCTTGATGTCTTCTGTTTCTGTGAGGTCCCTACCATTATTGCCCTTTATCATGTCCATCTTTGCACAAAACGTTCCTTTAATATCTCCAATTTTCTTGAACAGATCTCTCGTTTTTCCCTTTCTATTCTTTTCCTCTAAATCTTTGCACTGTTCGTTTAAGAAGGCCCTCTTGTCTCTCCTTGCTATTCTTTGGAAGTCTGCATTCCATTTTCTATAACTTTCCCTATTTCCCTTCTCTTGTCTGTTATTTGTACGGCCTCGTTGGACAGCCACTTTGCTTTCTTGCATTTCCATTTCTTTAGGATGGTTTTTGTTGCTACCTCCTGTACAATGTTACGAGCCTCCAACCAAAACTCTTCAGGAACTCTGTCCACCAAATCGAGTTCCTTAAATCTGTTTTTCACTTCCACTGTGTATTCATAAGGGATTTGGTTTAGATTCTACTGAATAGGCCAGTGGTTTTTCCTGCTTTCTTCAGTTTAAGCTTGAATTTTGCTATAAGGAGCTGATGATCAGAGCCACAATCAGCTCCAGGTCTTGTTTTTGCTGACTGTATAGAGTTTCTCCATCTTTGGCTGCAGAGAATATGTCAATCTGAAAAAGAGAAAGAGACAGAAAAAGAGAGAGAGAGAGAGAGATCAGGGACAACACCTTATTACATGAATTGTGAGATGGAAATAAAACATCATAGTGGATGTTTACTTATTTTGCAGTGCTACTGTTACAAATATGACTGTGGACTGTCTCTGGTTTTAGAAATGCCTTGAATGTAGTGAAGAATGACTTGATAGCTAAAGTGGATGACCTAACTTGTGAGAAGGACGTGCTTAGAGGAGAGCTGGAAGCTGTGAAACTAGCCAAGCAGAAGCTTGAAGAGAAGAATAAGGAATTGGAAGAAGAACTTCGAAAGTGAGTGTAGTGCTCCAAGTGCGTGTGGCAGAGGGGATCTGAAAAAGAATTTTTGTGATTCATTTCATTGATATGTCCTGTATCTTATTTAGAGCTCGAGCAGAAGCAGAAGAAGCAAGACAAAAAGCAAAGGAAGAAGATGATGTATGTAATTTTGTTGATATTTTAAATCTTGTTCTCTTATTGTTTAATACCGTTCTGAGGTGGGCTAACGAATCTGGTCTTTCTGTCGAATGACAGAGGCAAATTCTGTGCTTCTTCTTTCTGTGGCAAGAATGGAGCTTGTTTTGCAGTTGATAAGTAGATCAAGGCAGGGCATAGGGATTCTGGGCTGGGAGATGCCTAATCAGTTTCTTCTACCTGCTTTGAACCCAGAGGAGCTAGTGAGAGGCTTCTTCCATGGTTGCCACTGTTTCCTCCTGTCCTTTGCCATACCTTGTACCCTTCTGCAGCTAATAAAGACCACTGAATTCTTTTTCAGTACCTAAGTTAGACCTTTTATGTAGGCTGTGGGTCACAGAAAATCAGAGTTCTTCATTACACAGATGATACATATCTGATGTGATATGTTAAACTTGCTTCCCCCACTTTTAATATGCAGAGTGACATTCCAACGGCTCAGAGGAAACGCTTCACTCGAGTTGAGATGGCCCGTGTCCTGATGGAAAGAAACCAGTATAAAGAGAGGCTGATGGAGCTCCAGGAAGCTGTGCGATGGACTGAGATGATACGGCAAGTACATGTTGTTGTGCTTGTGGTATGTTGGAGATAAAGCACCTCAAAAGCTTTTCCTTCTAAAGAAAACGTTTCTTTCTAATGTAATACGTGTTTTAAAAAATAATTCCGTTACTAATATTTTATTATGAGTCACAGATAAACAAGTTGTATGCCTTTTGTTGTCCAATAAAAGAAGTCAACAATCACGTTCAATCACTTGTTGTCCAAGCATAAAAGAAGTCAACAATCACGTTCAATCAAGTTTTAATTAGTGGGAAAATGTATTTGGTTCATCTGTCATTTTTTTTCAAACGAAGCAGTTTCCAGAAACATAGCCATTTTGAAGTCTCTGGAAGAAATGAAAGATTCTTTTTGTACCCAACACGTTTACTATGGCATAAGCATTTGAGAACTTTTAAAGGCATTTTGTAAGAATCCACCTTCCACAGGGGCATTGTGTGAATTGGTTTGAGCATTATATAACTTGCAGGTATGTGGAAGGTGCATTCATTATAAATAGAAATGTGCTGTAGTTTGTCTGTAGCTGCTTGTTCTCTGATAAGGCACCAGCTCTAATGGTCTCACATCATTACCTATGCTCACTAGGGTTGATGGACCCTTGTTTGGAGGGCCACATATTGCCCGATCCTAAAAAAATCTCCTACCATGTGAGAGTTGGGTTCTCAGCATCTGGGGACTGAATAAGGGGTAACATTTTGAAACAGAGTATTGGGCTGTTGGCTCTATTTTCAATCAATTTTTAAAAAAATAGTATCTTCTTCAGAGTGTCTCTGGAGAAAGCCCTTGTGGTTGGGGCAGTGTATGGCATGCAGAAGTAGCAGTATCTAGACAGCAAGTGGAAATTCTAATCCTACCAAGCTGTCCTCACAATTAGAATCTTGGCAAAAGGATAGTGGGGTGAGATTATTCCATTGATCGCATTGAAAGGCTAGCTGTGGAAGCAGTAGGGTCTGCGCCTCCCTATAGTTCCTGACTAAATGTACACCGGCAGTCCTGTTGAGTGCTCCTTCATTCTCAGAGTATGCATGGGAATCCTTTCCTTCTTCATTCTCAGAGTATGCATGGGAATCCTGTTGTGTATCCAATGGCTCTTTGCTTGATAGTTTACTAGTTCATTTAATATCTGGCTCTAAAGTATCATTTATGTGTACTGAGTGTGCCAGGCTGGAGTGAGTGCGTGCACATGAAAGAAAGAGTGAGCGAGCTGTATATAACATGTATAATACACCTTATGTGCAAAGATTACTCGGTACCAGATTTTCTTTTCTTGTTTTGGTAATGGCCACGGGATGGGATAACTTGTCAGTTTTTTGCTAGGTTGCTGAATATTAATTTGGGACCAAACTGAACATAATGGTGGCAGATTTCTGTATGTTAAATGTAAACATGCCCAAATCATGGAATGTGTGTTGTATCTATTCAACGACTAAGGGACAGGAGAGAACACATCCCTCAGTGTCTACTTTTCTCTAGAGATACCTCTGACATGGTGATACAAATATGAGGGCAGACTGCAGGGAGCTTAGCTCCCCACAGCCCTTTCCTAAGGGTTTTTCTCTAGAGATACCTCTGACATGATGATACAAATATGAGGGCAGACTGCAGGGAACTTGCTCAGATACCTTTTGTCCCCTTAAGAAGAGATCCTTCTCTCCCTTATTGGCTTCTTGGTTTGGCCTTTTTAACTTATCAGAACACTCTATTCTGCTGCCATCTAATGGCCTGATGTAATTGCTGTGTCTTAGTTGTAACTAGTAATTACATTTGTACATCCGTTTGTGGCTAAGTTGGATTATTTTGCATTAGACAGATTTGCAGCCACATTCTAGAATGAAACCGTTCGACTTCTCTTGTGCGCATGGCTGATTCAGTGTCTGCAGGCAGAGCTGTGGGTATTTGCTCTTGTTCTTGCACTGGACAACTGTCTTTTGTACAAGATAGACGAAATGGTAATCAGGTGGCAAATGTTGTTCTTATGGGCAATGCAACCATGTGTTTGACATGCAGACAACATTTTGTCTTATTTATAGCTTTTACAATACCACTCTTGTGTGGAGCTGTTTATCTTTTCATTATAATTGAATGCTAGTGTGCTTTGCCAGTGGAGGGAGGGGGCAGATCTAAATGTCAAATAGATATGTTAGGAAAACTATTTTTTTTCTTTTCCTCTCTGCCCTTCTGCTTGTATTAAACAGAAGTTCTCTTGAGGATGGATTTTAATGACCTTGATCACACTATTAGATTTTAAAAAACCATTTTCACATGGGATGAATCAGAGTTTGAATAAATACTATTTGAATGCTGCTTTTGCTAAATTTTGGCTTCTCTTCATGCACAAATGTGCTGATGCACAGTTCTTTCATAATCTCTGATCCTTATTTAGAATCCATTTGGAAAATAATATGTTATGGAAGCTTTACATACAAAACACATTCCTCTTCTTTAAAAAGCTTTATGGTGTAGTGCAGTGTTTCCCAAGGGGGTCACAGAGCATTTTCTGAGGTGGTTTCAGGTTGCCTTATATGTGTTGTAGCCCTTGTTAAATAATTCCTTCCTTGCGCGGGATATTAAAGTTAGTGTGTGCGTGAATGTATGAGAACCCTCCCTTTGGAGGAGAAAGAAGCCTCTCTTGAGGAGGGAGGAAGCCTCTAATTTCTTAAGGAGGGAGGACTTGCCCTCATTAAAAATGCATTTTTGTGCAAATGTGGTAGGGGTCGCAGGTTACTTGGCTGTTATAAAAGGCGGTCGCGAAGGTTGGGAATCATTGGTATAGTGTTTTAATATTGAGCACTATCCTATTGTTACTTAGATATGAAATGTAGAACATTCTAGGTCATCTCTGCTCTTGTTGCTTAACTAATTAGCTTTCCTCCCCCTTTAGGGCATCAAGAGAAAATCCAGCCATGCAAGAGAAGAAGAGATCAAGTCTTTGGCAGTTGTAAGTATTCAAATTTTATGATGTATTTAATTTTTTCTTTAAAGTAAATATTTTTCTTTCTTCAGTAGCAAAGTGACTGATAATCACAATTTTTTTCTTTTTGCAATCTAGTATGCCAGCTGGGTAAGACCGATCTTAAAGACAAATTGTATCATAAGATGCATCTTGCAATGCTCATGCACTTGGCTGAGAAAATAATTGCCTAACTTAATTAAGAAATTTTTAAAAATATAGACACCCCAATTCCAATCGAATAATTTAGAGTTTTCTATAGCAGTACTGATAAAATAAATAAGGATACTGTAGCAGTAGTTCTGTGCTTATTAAAATAAACTGAAATATGTGTAGCTTTGTTGTGGTTTGCATATAATTTGGCTTCACCAAAATTTTTTTGCAAATTGGTAATTCAAGCTTAATATTCTTACTAAACATAAGAACACGAGAAAGTACTAAAACTGTGATGAGAGATGGCTTTATTGGAAAGCCTTTTCTGTTGTCAAGAGTTTTTATTATCGCATGATATAGGGATATTTTAGTACCCGGTTACCTGATAAAAGTGGATATGTTTGTACCGTTATAGGGTTGACATGTTGAATAGTTCAGTTGTTAAGATTTTGTTTCCTGAAGAATAGTGGCTCTGTCTTCCTCTCTTTTTTTAAAATTGCAACTCACATTCTGAACCTAAGCCAGTATTGCTCAACTTTACTTTCAGATGTAGAGAACTTTGACTGAATTTTGTACTCCAATGAAGTTATACTCTGTTGCATACACATGGTGCTTAGATTATTACAATGTGCAAACTATCTCATGTATAGAGATTACTTTTGAGTGTATATACGTACACACTGCACAAGTACATCAGCTTGATGCCGGTTTAGTTACCATGGTTCCATTCTGTAAAATCATAAGATTTGTAGTTTGGGGAGATACTTGGAATTCTAGTGCATTCCCCCATCACAGCAAGGAATTCTAAGCACCTCACCAAGCTACAGATCCCAGAATTCCATAGGGTAGACGCACAACAATCGAAGTGGTATCAAACTGCTATAACTATATTGTGTGATTAAATTGTAAGATAGGTCAGTAGTGCCACCACGTTGTACAAGGAAGTGAGACATAGACTACATCTTGCCTTGGTATGTCCAATGCCTTCTGATTACTTCAGTGGTAGACGTTGGAGTGCTCCATTTGTAGTTTTCAGATCCCTAGAGTGAAGGTTGAAGTCCAGAAAATCCAAATGGCGCACCCCAGTAGATCTTTGCTTTACATGTTGGCTAAGCTGAAATGCATTTCAAATTCTCGGTGCCAGAGTCTGATTTCTGTGAGCCAGCATGATTTTTTTTTAAATGCCAGCCCTACATTCACATAGAAAAATATCTCCACTTCTAATATCATATTTAAAAATATCTAACCACTCTCCAACCCTTGTCCACAGGGATGTTTATTTTGTCTGTATTCTTGCTTTGCAAGCGCATGGCATAACTTTAGTGAGTGTTATAAAGAGATGCTATTGTCCTGACAGTGTAGCTGTACTCAACAATTAATGGCTGCTCTTTTGGGGTCTCCCCCCCGCTACTCACCCTTAATTATATGTTTTGAATAAAGTAATTTGGAAAATGCTATATGAACATATGATTTGGTGTATTTATGTACTCATATGATCCTGCTTTTTTCTTTTTCCTAGTTTTAGCAGGCTATTCAGCTCATCAGGCAACACTGCAAAGAAACCAGAACCACCCGTTAATGTTAAATACAATGCACCTACTTCACACATCACCCCATCAGTCAAGAAAAGAAGCAGCACTTTATCTCAGCTACCAAGTGACAAATCAAAAGCCTTTGATTTCCTCAGTGAAGAGTAAGCCTTTTTTTGCTTGTGAAAAGGGTGCAGAGAAAAAGGGTGCAGAAAGTTATAAAACTGGCTAAACAACCAGCCATTCTAGCATGTATATTGTTAGCATATAACAGTAAAAATAACAACACCTGCTAACTTTGTAAGAGTGCATACCAGGGTAACAGAAGTTGATAATATGTTGGCTACTAGAATTTTGTGAAGTTGTTAGTTTTGCTGTATGGTTTAGACTAGAGGCATGGTAAATATCTGTCTCATGACAGTATTTTAATATATAGGATTAAGCCCTGTCCATTAGAACTACAGGAGTACCTTGTTTTACAAACAGCTTTGTTAATGTAATTTTTGGTTTATGAAAGAAAAATCCATTGAAAATAATGCCTTGGTTTATGAATTTTTTTTTGTAATACGAAGCAAGTTTCCCCAGGATGCATTGTGCCTGGGAGGTGTATAGCACCAACCCTGTACATGTGTTCCTATGTGAAACTGCATTTCAGTTTGCGATTTTTTCACAGTACTGTACATAACGTCCCAGAGAACGCATTAAATTCGTAAACTGAGGTATACTTGTAGTCAAAAGCTACAGACCTGGTGGAAGATTTACGGAAAGCAGGGAGTGTTCTAGCCCCATCACCCTCTGTTGCCTTTTAAATAGCACTTCTATACAAAGAAAGTGGCAAGTTTTAAGAGGGAAGGCCTCCTCTATCTGTGAGCTTTGTCCACATGTAGTCCAAAGCTACAGACCTGGTGGAGGATTTACAGAAAACAGGGAGTGTTCTAGCCCCATAACCCTCTGTTGCCATTTAAATAGCACTTGTACACAAAGAAGGTGGTAAGTTTTGAGAGGGAGGGCCTCCTCTATCTGTGAGCTTTGTCCACATGAATTGGAACCCTACAAAATCAGTGAGGGATCTCTGCTTCTGGCTTGTCACCCTCTACATTTAGGAGGGGAAAAAAACAAGGAAGGGAATAAGGTTAAAATGATTTCCCTTTTTCAGTTGAAAATGATACTGATGCCACACATGATAGACTGCTACTTTATCACGCACTTACCACATACATGCTACTTGATTCTAATATAACTTGTGCTCAGAAATCCTCCTGGCCTTTCTTTCTCTTTTGCCCAGGACTGAGGCCAGCCTTGCCTCACGCAGAGAGCAGAAGAGAGAACAATACCGCCAAGTGAAAGCACATGTTCAGAAGGAAGATGGCAGAGTACAAGCTTTTGGTTGGAGCCTTCCTCAGAAATACAAACAGGTATTGTGTTTGGATAACTGAATATGCCCATTGGATGTTAATCTCCTAGCACAGCAGAGATAAAAAGCACATTTTTATTGTGAGTTCGTAGCTGTTCTTTACTGCTCATGTGTCCCTTTAGCATGAGGAGATTGGGATGGTTGGCCACTGAATACTTTTCTGTTTATGAGATATGAAAAATATTGTTGAAAACCCTTTGTAGATATTACAGTGACCATAAATGCTGTGACACAAGTCATTGTGTAAACTATTATATTAAACAGGGTTTACAAAGGGTTTCAAAAGCCTGGGATAGCATTGTTACCTTCCTACTGGTGTAGCTTTGTAAAAAAAATAGTGTGCCGTGTTTCCTCACAATGCTGGAATGGCCATTGTTCCTTTAGGAGTCTTGCCTTCTGTGCCAGTTTGGAAGGAAAGTGTTGGGGGAGAGAGATCATATGTTGGAAGGGGGCATACTTAAGATCTAATCACGTTTACTGTAAACCTGAAATCTGGAAATATTTTAAGCCAGTAAGTTAGGCTTTTGTGTCCTGCTTGTGAAAAGTCAGCATTTTTCCCCATTTAAACACAAATGTCACTTTTCATGGAAAACCAAACTAACAAGAAAAGGTCACTGAGCTGTAGAAAGAGTGGGACGGCTGCCTGTTCAGCCTTCGTTATAATGGAATGTTCTTGCTGAACATTTTTCTCAAAGTTTGAAAAACATTTTGTGCTCCCTTGTATGCTTTGAGCTACAAAATATTTTGAGAATGGTGAAGATTATATAATATATATTTGTATACTTTTTAAAATATACAGTACTGTCCCTCTGAGAATAGGGTAATAACTATTCTCTTAATCTCCATAGCTTTTGATTTTAAAAGAGAACCTCTGGTCCTGTTCACCTCTCTGGAAGTCTAGTATTTTGGTAAACCTACAAAAACCATAAATGTGATTGTGGCAAACTGCCCTGTATGATTCCAGAAACTTTTTGGCACAGAGGAAAGAATCTGACTCTTTTTGGTGTGAGGAGTGTGTCAGTAATGCAAGGACTGATCAGCTCAGTGCTCTGCAGTCCAGAGTGTAGCTGGAGATGGGTGTTGGTTTAAGTTAGCAGAGTTTTGTTTCAGTCCAGCAGTCCAGTGGATTCACACAAAGACAGCTTCTTCTGACACCAAGTGTATTTACAGTATACAGTGGTGCCTTGACTTACGAACGCCTTGACCTACGAACATTTTGACTTACGAACAGCTCCGTTAGCAAAATTTTGCTTTGACTTGCGAATGGAGCTTTGACTTACAAATGGAAAAAAGCAGGGAAAAGGGATGGGAAATTCAAATAGACTATTGGTGGCGAAGAGGCTGCTTCTTTGTAGCTCTTTCACCCCAACGGTTTGGGAAAGGGATGTGGTGGCAGTGGTGGGGGTCTGGCCGGGAGTTGAGGACCCATCCCAGCCGGGTTCTGGCTCCCGGCCCTGGGTTCGTCTGTGCTGCTTGCTTCCTGGCCAGACTCTGGGAGGCAGAGCCCAGGCTGGGCAGCGGTGGAAGCCTGGGAGGGCTCCCGGAGGGCTCCCACTGACGGCAGTCTCGACAGCGGTGGAAGCTTGGGTGGGTTCCCTGAGGGCTCCCACTGACAGCGTTTCTGTGGTGGCGGAAACCTGGGTGGGCTCCCGGAGAGCTCCCGCTGACGACGGTTTTGGCAGTGGAGGAAGCCTGTGTGGCGGCGTAGAAAGCCCGGGTGGGCTCCCAGAGGGCTCCCACTGACAGTGGTCTCGGGGGCGGAGAAAGCCCAGGTGGGCTCCCAGAGGGCTCCTGCTGATGGCGGTCTCGACGGTGATGGAAGCCCAGGTGGGCTCCTGGAGAGCTCCCACCGACTGCGATTTTGGTGGTGGAGGAAGCCTGGGTGGGCTCCCGGAGAGCTCTCACTGACAGTGGTCTTGGGGATGGTGGAAGCTTGGGTGGGCCCCTGGAGGGCTCCCGCCGACGGTGGTTTCGGTGGTGGTGGAGCCCCAGGTGGACGCCCGGAGGGCTCCCACCAACGGTGGTTTCGGTGGCGATGGAGCAAGCCCGGGTGGATTCCCGGAGGGCTCCTGCTGACAGCTGTTTCGGCAGTGGTAGAGCCCTGGGTGGGTTCCTGGAGGGCTCCCGCCAATGGCGGTCTCAGCAACAGTGGAGCCCAGGTGGCTGAGCATGGCCCGGAAGGCTTCAGAGGAGGCTTCGTGGTGATGTAAGGTGCTGCTTTTTGCATTTTAATCCTGTTCCTATGCATTTCAATGGGAAATGGTGCTTTAACTTACAAATGTTTTGACTTATGACCTCCATTCTGATACGGATTAAGTTCGTAAGTCAAGGCACCACTGTATACAGACATTCAGCAGTACAAACCAGCAGCATGATAGCATGACATTCATTGGAAGAGATCCGTACATCTTCTCCACATGTCCACACAGTTATACACATGCACAGCCAATCAGTGTGGACATTGCATCATCCCAGACTGCATGATTCACCATTTTGCACACCTAAGTATGGCTGCTGATTACCACAGGCCTTGTTCTGCCTTAGTGTGAAAATTATCCTTGACAATGGGAACAGTGGCAAATAGGCCCTTGTGTCAGGGACTAAGTTGGCAAGGTATGCTGGGGCTCACACAGGTTTCTGTAGGATATTGATTGCTAGTGAGACATGTACACATTGCTTGCTCCCCCCCAAAAAATATGTCCTTATCTTTTTATATAATAGAACAACTGCTTATTCCCAAGACAGCCACGTGTTGTTTGACTGCGATATTATTACTTGGCTTGGTGTTGTAAGACTTCTCCCCAGTTCCTTCCTGTGATTCAACACGCAAATGCATAACTGGGAGATTCCGTTTGAGCAAGGGAAAAGGATGGAGGGAGACGGAAGACACTCCCCATAGGATGGAACTTTCCCTCCAAACCTATGACAGACAGGTAACATCAGTGCTGTATGTAACAGACATATTACGTAGATTAAAAAAACTGACAAAATGTATTGAATGATGGACACTCTATTAGTCATACTGTGCTTTGAATGCCTCTGTCACACCAGTCTGAGAGAAACATTCAAGGCAAGTATCAGTGCTCCACTTGGGCTGAGGGGGCAGGCGACAGTGGGATGTGGAGAAGCTGATCAAGTGCCTAGAGTGAGATAAGAGTGGCTGGAAGGAAAGACCATGACCGCTGGAGATAAAAGTACGGTACCCAGTATGTAGTGTGGGCCACCTGATTGCCCTTTGTTTCTGTGTTAGTTAAGAAGGTGTAGTTATAACTGTCACTGATATTTTGACCTATGATGTAGTAAATTATGAAAGTAAATTAATACAGTGTCATTGTGTCTGAGACATGGTGTGCAACATGTGTAGACATTCAGTGCTCTTAGCACATCCCGTTTGTATGAAACCTACTTGAAGATGGGATAAGAGGCAATAATACATTCTCCAGACCTGTAAAAAAACCTTTTTACTTTTAAGTATAGAAGTCGGATCAAGGTGGAAGAATATTTCGACCTGATGTATAGATGGTCCCTGGTAGATAGTGTATTCAATTCTTATATCTTTCTGGTTTATATTGTTGCCAAAAGGAAGGCCACTATGAGTGAGAGCAATACAATTGTTAGAGACTGGCTGAAACCCTTTTGCTATTTTACATAGGTGGAAGGCAAACAGCATAACATTCACTAACGTATAGCTGGCAATTAATGACTTGCTGCCACAATTCTTGGGGGTCCATGCACCCATTGGCTTAGCATGCAATCAAGCATCCTGGAGGAGAACTCATTAACTGTTGGCTAAAAGTGAGTGAATGTTGCCCATTTGCTTGCTTCTTCCATGAAAAAACAGCAGAGTTTCAGCCACTGAAATGGAGACTCGGTCAGGACCTTGAGGACTTCTTGCAGGCTCCACGTTGTAAACTCGTGTCCAGTGTTGCTTTCTTCTCTGCTTTTTAGGTTGTAAATGGTGGTGGTCAGGTTGATAACAAAATGAAGAACTTACCAGTGCCTGTTTACCTGAGACCACTTGATGAAAAGGATGCTTCCATGAAGGTAGATCTGTTTTCTTTTCTTTCTTTGTACTTCACTAACAAAACATATGAAATTTGTCCATTTTAAATCAAGCCTAAATCTCTGCAAAAGCAAGTTGCATCCCTTTCTATCCAGTGGTGCTTCCTTTGCTTTGGATCATATGCTGACCTATAAGAAGCAATGCTAAAAGATACAAAGCAAAAGTTCTCTGCAAGGAATAATATTCTTTAAAAGCTGTCAGATCATCAAGGCTCAAAAATACATACACAAAGAACGAAAGCTACTCCACAGGGAAAGAAGCCAGCCTGGAATGGTATAATTCAGCCCTTGTTAACATTAAGGAAAAAGATTTTTTTTTTTTTTAGGAAATCTCAGAATCCTGAAGAAACAGCCATAACTAGAATGCAGAAATAAAAAACTGCCCACCTTTTAAAATAGATGGAACCCCAGGAAAGTCTAGCCCCCAGCTGGGTTACTGGAAGTCACTTAATAGGCTACAGACTGGGATTGGCAGAACCAAAGAAAAAGGACGAAAATGGTATTTTTGCTCAAATCCAGTCTTTTGTAAGTGTGGAAAAGAACAGGCAACTTCACACTTATATCTGTCCCTGCAACATGTATTATGGAAAATTTGGTGCCAGGCCAGCTGCCCCAGATGTTCTTGTTGTTGCCTGTTATTGGGTGAAAATTATCTTACATCATTAATCGTTTTGTGGTACTTCTGACATGAAAAAGAAAGGTCTCTTTCTATAGGGATACCTTTTAGCTTCCAAGTGGTGATAGTATACTTTGACTTGTAGATTTGTATGCAATAATGTTTTTAAAGATTTCTGACTGTTCGGTATGGTATAGCTAGAATGTGAAAATAAAAAACTGCCCACCTTTAAAAATGGATGGAACCCCAGGAAAGTCTAGCCCCCAGCTGTGTTAGTAGAAGTCGCTTAATAGGCTACAGACTGGGATTGACAGAACCAAAGAAAAAGGACGAAAGTGGTATTTTTGCTTATACTCCTTTGTAAGTGTGGAAAAGAACAGCACTTTCACACTTACATCTGTCTCTGCAACATGTATTATGGAAAATATGGCCAGCTGCCCCAGATGTTGCCTGTTATTGGGTGAAAATTATCTTGCATCATTATTAATCATTTTGTGGTACTTTTGACATGAAAAAGAAAGATCTCTTTATAGGGATACCTTTTAGCCTCCAAGTGGTGATAGTATAGTTTGACTTGTAGATTTGTATACAATAATGTTTTTAAAGATTTCTGACTGTTAAATACAGCTACACTGAATTCATTCACATGATGCAGATTGTTCTAAAAAGCTGGTATCTGTCACTTCCTTTCATAAGACATAATACCCTAATTTTACCAAATGTTTTTTATAAAGTTCTCTTTTGTTCAAGCTGTGGTGTGCTGTAGGAGTGAACTTATCAGGAGGGAAGACGAGAGATGGGGGCTCAGTGGTTGGCGCCAGCGTGTTCTACAATGATGTAACAACTGTGGATGTGGAGAGCAGCAAACAGAGAAGTGCATCGCAGAGCAGCTTGGATAGATTAGATCAAGAACTCAAGGTAAGTCCAGAAATTAAATCAAAATGTAAAACAGTTCTAGAAGCCTATTAACACTTTGTGCTATGTAGTATTTTTTAAAAAAGAATTGGTTGTGAATTTAAATAAGTACCTAGTGTTTGTCTGATGGTTCTTGGATCGTCAATAAACAATATTCTATCACAAGATAATGTTTCATGATCAGTTAGCTCACTTGGTACCAGTTCCTCAAACCTAGAACTCTTCCTATATTATGTCTACATATTATCTTGAAAGATGTGGAATATACCTTTTTTTAAAAGTGCAAACAAATACAACATGTTTTTAAGGCCCATATATGTAATAAAAAGACAATTGACAGTAGCATAGGACAGGGCAATAATGGAGGTAGTCAAATGAAGATAAAACTGATAATTGATCAATCAGTTAAAGCAATCCTGCCAGAAGTCTTGGAAGGGATAGCACATGAGCATTGCTGATAAACAGGCCCCATATTTCATAAAAGTGAGAAGTGTATTTCCCTTGTCTAAGTGAACTGTTTGGTTAGTTTGCCCATTAGCACTGCTTGCTGAATATTAGCACACAAAACTGAGAATGGTAGGTTGGACAAAGTTTTCCACTTTGAGACAATTGCCATTCTAGCTGATTGACAAAGTGTGATTATAACACAATTATACATCAAACATGAGTTTGCACTATGACAACAAGCCTAATGCTGGACATAAAGTTGCCTTTTGATTTGTTATTTTGCCAATTTCTCTAAAAATCAATTCCCAAAAGGCACATTCCTTACTGCGTGATCGCCACAGGTGAGAATATGAACCAATTTCCCCACACACCCTCCAACATTTGGAATTAAAAGTATGATTGATTTTATATAATTGTATCAGGGTGAGGTACAGTTTGTGGAGCAATTTGTAACTTGTGGTCCGTCGTTTTCAAGGACGCTCATCTAAAAGGGCTGCTGGATCTATTTGGACTGCCAGATGTCATAAGAATCAAAGTGACAAGGTCACTTTCTCATGCCAGTTTAGTACCTTGGGAATTGTGCTTATCATTATGGAGAAGACTAGCTCATCAAAAGGGAGTTTTGTTCTAGAGGCATGCAATTTCACCAAAGAAATTGCTGTGAAATCAGCAACTTGGATCAACTACAACCACAAAGGGCAGCCCCACTTCCCAGAAACTGTACCCTCAACTGAGCTATGGTCTTTGAACTGTCTTCTATAAAAAAGATATTCCAATAATCTATATACAGTGGACCCTCTACTTACAGAATTAATCCGTATTGGAATGGTGGCTGCAAGTCGAAAAGTCTGTAGGTCGAATCTCCATTGACTTACAATGCATTGAAAACCGATTAATCCCATAACTGGCAGTTTTTATTCTATTTTTGTTCCATTTTGTTTTTTTTCTGGTCTGTAAGTCGATTCTCCGTCTGCAAGTCGAATCTAAATTTTGCGGCCAGAGAAGTCTGTAACTCGAAAAGTCTGTAAGTTGGTAAAAAAGATATTCCAATAATCTATATAGGCCTTTGTATCTCCATTTTTTGCATCTGATTTTTTTTATTATGATAAAACCGAGGGTAAGCAAGGAAAGGCACCAACAGATAAGGTGAAATTATAAACTTATGAAACCAAAAAATATCTGTACAACTTTTAAAGGTATTCCTTTAAGAAAAAAACGGGGTTGCTCTTTTTAACATAGCTTTAGAGCCCTCCAGTGAAAAGGGAGTCCCTCTGACACAGATCTAACCCTTGTATTTCTAGTGATAGCCTTATTGTCAACCACTAGGCTTACTAATTGTTAAAAATGAAAAGCTGAGTGAGAAGCCCAAAGGTGCACGTTGTTGAGACCTCCTAATTTCTTAGATGGTGAAAAACAAGAGAATTAGGAATTTCTAAACATTTACAATTATGTGTAAATTCCACAGTCAGTTTTGCTATAATCTGAAAAATGTGTCTAGAATCAGAACTGAAAGGCCTTGCAAAAGATACGTAACTTGGAGTAGAATGCTGATTTTAAATGCCGCTATGAAAGGTTGCATTTCGACCACTCTAAACTAGTTCTGAGAGTTTGTTAAAAAATGGCTGTGAAAGTAGTGAGACAGAAGGAAATGTCTCTTTTGGACATTTTAAAACCCCAATAGGCTCCTGTGGGGAGATGCAGTCCTTCAGATAGTCTGGATGGGGAGGTACAGATATTCAGACTCTCTAGATGGGTCATGATGACAGTTTGGACAAGAAAACAAAGTAACTAGCTATATAAAACTGCTTGATTTCTTCAGTATAGTTCGTGAATATGTATTCTGAGTGAAATTTATATACAGTGGTGCCTCGCACAACGATTGCTTCATACAACGATGAATTCACACAGCGATGGGTTTCTTTGAGGAATTTCCCCCATCGTTTAACGATGTTCTCTATGGGGGAATTTCACTTAA